TGTTGCTAATTTCTTTGCTTCATGTCTTCTATTGCATTGGTTTTATTATACTTAAATCATGTAGTTTAATTAATGTAATATTTATGATATATACTGTAATATCCCAAAATTTTGGGGTATTTTAGCATTAAATTGAGGGACTTATTTGATGAGAAATATTGTTTTGGGGCTTAATTGCAAAATTTTAAAAAGTTGAGGGGCTAAAAAGAAAGGAATTAGGATAAGGATCAGCTGATATTTTCATTCCTTTTCTTCCCAGCCATACACGTTTCTGCTCTGTCTTCTTCCCGATTCTTCTCCCCCGATAAGCCCCCCCCAAGCAACCGACTCTCTCCCCTTGAAAACCCGGTGAGATCTTGATGAAATTTCTCCTTCTCTCTTGCTTAATCACAAGATTTGGGGCGTAGAATCTTCCCTCTCAACCCAGAAATCCCGGATCTGCTCTGCTTCTTCCTCCCTTGTCCGTTGGGTTCTGCTGGGTTTGAATCCTTTGGCTTTTTCTGGTAAGAAGCAGCCTTGAATTCATCTTTTCAACTTTAATGTGGCTTGCGTTTACCTTGAATTGTGTTTTGGTCTTTGGATTGAGGTAGCCGTGAGTTTCCCCTGAATTTTCTGCACATGCCGTCGGCTTCCTTCCCAGCCGGAACCGGCCTTTGCTTGCCTGAAATTCTGGTAAGTTGCCGGCTCTTCCAAGTTTGAATTACCCATTTAATTGCTGGGTTTTGTCCATTAGTTGATGCTCTGTGTTGTTCGAATCTGCTGGGATAGGGGATGAATTTGGTAGCTCTTTTGAATGTGTTTTAAGCTTGATTATGTAGAATTTAGCTTGAATTAGCCGCTGTGATGTTTTGTGTGAGAAATCCCGTGTGTGTGAGTGTGATTTGCCAAAGTCATGCCCTCCATGTGCTGCCTGTGAGATTGGGGAAATTTTGGTAGCTTTAAGCTATGTTTTAAGTGTGGTTTAAGTAGGAAATTAGCTTGAACTGGGTTGTTGTGATTTTTGGAAAGAAAACCCCGTGATTAGCTAGTGTTTTGGCTAATGTTTGGAAGTGGCAGTACTGTTCACGTCGTGAGTACTGTTCACCGGGTACTGTTCACACACCGAGGGTTAATGATTAATGGGGATTTAAAGGTTTAGTTTGTGATATAAGAATGAAATTGGAGATGTTCGGTTATGTGGAGATTGATAGAAATAGCACTGTGATTGGGGGTAGTGTTGATGATGATTTCAGTTTGAATTTATGGTAGTGCGATATTAA